GCCACAACTAATGAAAGCGATAATCTTTTTTATCGTGAAGCTGAACGAAATGAAGTGCTCCCGAAATGGGTTTCGAAGCCTGAGGATTTTACACGCAGGGTTGGTCATCCTTTGATCCCCACTTGCCTTTCATTGCTTAGTCAGCTGTTCTGTAATGGTGCTGTAGTGTTAGGGAATTCCGCATTTGTTTCATTATCATTAACGAGCTCTGACCTGATCGCAGTGTTGATTTCTCATAATGTATCTGAACAGATTCACTATTATGAATCGAGCTCTCAAAATATGGTTCATATAATTTTGCGTTAGCCATGTGGCGGTTATTTTGTACGGTGAAATGATTAGTATGACACAGCCATATATTATCAAACAGGGGGTCGCCAAATTTCATATTGAGGGGAAATAGAATTGTCATGGACATCCTTATGGCGAAGAAGCCATTAGAGTACTGATTTTGGAAAGACTTTGCCATTTCCCTTTGTTTGAAAGCATATTCAAAATATTACAGGCTTGAAATATACGTATTTGTTGAACTCCTCTATTTATGCGCAATTTTATCACCCCGCTTCTGTCGGTGCTAGTTTCACAAGTCAAAACTTATCTTATTCTCCACTATATAATGCCGACACATCGGCCTGGAAACATTTTTTGAACTCTTAAAAGAAGTTACTTTGATGACATTGCTGGCACACCATTGATCTGATCCATCCTTTATCCTCATAGTTAGTTTCGCAAACGTTCTAGATTTCATCCGAGTATGTACTTTTTATTGGAAACACACCTGGTTCTTATTAGTGAGCTTCTCGATAAATTCGCAATTATCCAAGACACTCTTATTATAGGTTTATGGGTTCGCCGGTGTTCTCCACGTTATCCCTCCCGAGGTAAACGACAAATATCCTAATTTGACAGACATCGAAATTGTAAGGACTCATCCACGTGAATCTCGGAACATTCTAGTGACAGAAGCTGTGAAGCAGGTAAATATATGTAAAGGTCAATCATAAAGTCGTGACGACGGATCTGACTGCGGACTTTGCGCCCACAAGAGCCTAAAGCATTTTCACAAAAAGGCGTCACCTCTACGCTGAGCTCGGTCACGTCCAGTGTTTAATGCTATGTATATAAGTGGAAAAAACCATTTGAGTAGAGTTAAAACCAAAAAAATGTGGTTGCGGATTTGCGTGCGCGTTGCGCGCAATCGCGCCATCGTCACGATTTTTCGAATATTATATTTCTTATGGGAAGATGATGCGAATTTCGCGATAAAATAAAAAAAAAGTCAAGGGGATTGCTCTGTTCATGCTTTTTATCTACTCAGAGGCTAATGATGGCTGCTGCTCGGAATTTTGGAATGCAAAGGACAAGTGTCAATCTCCCCGCGGAGCTAGCCTATATCGCTCGACAGCGACCTGAACTGCTAAGCGCGGCTGTGAGAGAATTTGCGGCGGGCGTCGACAAAGAGGAGGTCCGTTGGATGGTGAATTCAAGATTTTGAAATGCCCTTAAAATTTGGGATTTAGGTATCTGAACGTCGCTCATCGGACAGTGAAGATGTCATGGTTCACGTTAATCTTAACGCTACTGATTGGCAGGTAAAATGTGTACTATAGCTGAAGAGATGTCGTACTTTTGTGATGTGATGTTTACTATTTCGCTGAGGGGTTCCGCGATTTTC